CTTTGCTCGCTCCTTTTAAGTTATCTTGGGTAAAACCGCAAAAAAATCATGAAGACCTGAACCGGAACCGATGCAACCTGTTTCACAGAATGCGGAAGTAAGTTGTGCATATAGCCTATTAATCCGCTGTTAGCACACATACACTACTGAGACGTTTTTCATTCTTTAAAGCGTTTGCTCATCTGCAATACGCCTCTATGACGTTTCTTATCTGGTGTCAAATAAACATTTAGAGTATGTCTTAAAGAGGCTTTTTCAATATACTGGTGCAAAGATCCAGACTGGAATTTTTTTTAATAATATTATATAAACATCTAAACACTTCACAAGAAAAACTTGTTCACTGATTGATGACTGTTGATTTAATGTTGCATAAGATATTTGTTTATCCATTGAGGTTGTTTTAGTCAGAGTAGATGGAAAATGTAATTTTCCGTACGAGACTGGAAACTAGACTTTGACCATACAACTTTATCAAAGTTGCATTGTCAATGTCTAAAGTCACAACTAATAGTCACAACCCATGTTTTTGTGCAGTGGATGGACTGTAATCAAAGCTGGTCCTCTCAGCTCCTGTTTGGCTTCTGTCATGTGTACACAAATGAGTGATTGCACAAACTACAACATTAGCCAGTTTTTCTTTTCAGGTTGTTGCCGTTTGTGGTTCTTTCTGATACTGGTATTCGCCCCCGTCTCTTGTGAGATTATCCTGTCTTCTGCGGATGAAGTGTCATGCCACAATGACACAGTGATGACAGAAGGGATTAGTAGAAGATCGCAGAAAAACACAGCAAGAATGTATGACACAGCCTATCCTGCTTCGGTGTCTACATCAGATACGTTTAACAACGACAGAAATGACAGGCTGTTTAAACACTCTCTGGATGAGCAACAACTCCACATTAAAGGGAAATGTGTCTTGAAATTAATAATTACACCAGAATAGCAGTTGCTAAGCTAATTAGCGCTGTGGAAAGCTAGCTAGCTAGCTATTGTTTTATTTCTTTCACAGAGAACAGCGAGAGTGTCTCGAATGAATAAACACATAAACCACCGATTAAGACACGTGTCCATCATTACAGCCTTATTACAGATGGGGTCAGAGGTCACGCCGCTGGCCAGATGACAGTGCGCTAATTGTAGGCCTGTAATGCTGTCATATGTGATTATCACATTAGTTCTTCAGGAGATGCAGGGCTTGTGTTTCATGATCTCATTGTGTCATGAACAAAGCCCTCCATTGGATCCAGGTAAACCGTAGAAGCGGATCGATCTCTGTGCTGGATGCTGGGGGTCGAATCTCGCTTTACGGGACCGATCAGGGTTACTGTGAGACATTACTATGCAAAGGGTGCAGAAGTGTTTTCACCTACAAACCACTTTCTATTTGTATTTTTATTTTGTAACCCAAAATAAGCTAAACGTGGCCATTTCCTGTGCTGACGTCGGTGTACAACTACTGTGAAGTGGATGCGTGACCCTTGTGGAGAAGAAAGCGGTGTGACTGCGAGTTTCAGTAAGTGTCATTAGAGGATCAGTTTCTGAGAGCATTATTGGACATTCCTGCACTATCAGTTTGGCCAAATAACATGTTTGCTCTGCGGACAGCTGCTGATATATGAGCGTTAATCGATAAATACAACTTCCTCACTCGCATTCTTGACCGATGTTAAACAAAACACATTTTTGGTCTGATAAAGAATGTTACACTGCACTTTATATCATTTACCTTTTTTCTGTGAACTATGGGAAAGTTTGGCAGAAACGTATAAAAAGCTTTAATGAGCATTTCTCCCAGCATATTCACTTACAGAGTGTGTTAATGGGTTCGAGCCGCTGCTGAATCAACATGAGAAGTGTGATCACTTCACACTTATGCAGGGATCATCTTTTAAGAGGTTTTCACATAATTTTTTCAGTTGACTTAATGATTGCAAACGACATCAGTGCTAATAAATCAATATGCTATTGTACTCTAAAGTCTTTTTGAGTAAAATGTCCCTGTTCTCAGGAGTCTTGTTGATGACGTTCTCTCTCTCTGTGTGTGTGTGTGTGTGTGTGTGTGTGGCTGCTGAAGCGTAGAGTGATTGAGCTGTAATTATGAGCACTGTCTCACAGCTGTTCATCAGATATACCAGTCTCAGTAAACAACAGGCCTCTGTTGAGCTCTTCAACTCCATCAGGGGTCAAATGCTTCTCAAAGACTTCACATATCGGCCCATTGTTTTTATGACAACAGGGTCAAAGCACCTGTGACTTGACCCCAAACACTGCCTTTCACTCGGGTCTGCAGGTGCCAAACACCCTTCTGCAGCACTAACTCATCAAAACTAGGACATTATACAACGCAAATGGCACAATTATGTTGTAATATCTAATAGTCAAATGGATTATATGTAGTTAGTGTTGTAATTACTCAATATTTAAAACAACCCAGTAAATTTGTTAAATATCTTACCTTTTAAGATTTAAGACAAGTTGGTGGTTATCCTTAACTTTAAGAGATTATTTAAAAAATATATGTTTTTTTTTTTTTTTTTTTACAAACAAATTATTTTCAGGAATTTATTTTGTCATTACAATAATGTTAAGAACATTATTTATATTTTTGGGAAGTTGGAAAAAAGATGAAAATAGCAGTTAATATATTCTTCAGAATGTTTTGTGAGTCCCTGGAATGCAGTTTCCATTCTGTTACGGAAAAAAAACATCTAAACAATACAAAACCTACTGAACACTTTTCTTATAGTACAGTGAAATAATGGAATAGTAAAATTAATTATATTAAAGATATCACATTTATACACATTTATACTTTTATTCAGGAAGGACGCATTAAATTGATCAAAAGTTACAGTCATTTATAATGTTACAAAGGATTCTATTTCAGATAAATACTCTATAGAATTTTATATTAATGAAAGAATCCTGAAAAAAAGGTTCACAACTGTTTTCAACACTGATAATGATAATAAAAATAAATATTTCTTGAGCATCAAATCATCATGATTTGTGAAGGATCATGAAGACTGGCTTTGAAAATTCAGCTTTGATCACAGGAGTAAATAACACTTTACTATTCATATAGAAAACAGCTGATTTACATTGTAAAAACATTTCACAACATTTGTTTTGTATTTTTAATCAAATAAACGCAGCCTTGGTAAGTGACTTATTTTATATATTAAAAACATAAAAAAAACTTACCAATCCCAAACTTTTGAATGGAAGGACACAAGGACACTTTTGAATTTGAATGGACACAGCAAAAGTGTGTGTGTGTGTGTGTATATATATATATATATATATATATATATATGCAAACACACTTTTGCTGTGGGCACATTAATGGCAAACACAAACAGAATTTGTGGTCCTGCCAGTGAAAGTTTAATGTAAAAATCTGAGGAACCTTTTATGCCAGGAAGCTTGAGAAAATATTATGCTTTCCACTCGTTCGAGGCCTTTTGCTGTGCTAAAGAAAAAGCACAAGCCGTAAAGAAAAAAAAACACACACACAGAAAAATGAGGGATCAAATATCCAAAGTGGGATTTTTGCCACATGAACTGTGAAGACACACACACTGCATGCAGAGACTGAGTGTGGCCGCAGTGCATTGGAGAAACTGAACGCTTGCACTCTTAACCATGAGAGTGTGTGAGAGAAAGAAACACACAGATCACACATGTACGTCTCAGGCCTGATCATGAGGCCTGATCATGAGACCGTAAAGTGGACCTGCACCACTTTACGCTTTACCTCACCTACACACACACACGTTCATTCGGTTGAGGAGTGTGTTACGATGCACTGTAAAAAATAAAATCGTTAAAAATGGGTCAAATGACTGGCAGCAAAGGGTGCCAGACAAATACCGTAAAAACAAAGTAAAATATCCTAATTTAAATTAAGCACAAAAAAACATTTTACAGATATTTTTCTTAAATGTTTTGTAGAAAAACACTGTTATTTTTTATGTAAAATAATAAAGTTTGATGTCACCATGATGGAGATCAGTGTTTGCTTTAGTGGGGCTCTTGACCCTTTGGTTTTATCATTACTTTAACCCTTGCTGCTTTAACTGTGTGTCACTGATGCATATTTGTCATAGTAGGAATCCAAGTGAATCTCAGTTAAGAAGATCTGATCACTTGTTAGTGGTAATGATAATGATGTAGTTGAATGCTTTATTGATACCACCTGAAGAGTGTTATATATGATTAATTCATTAAACATTAGTAATTAATAACATATGAATAACATAGCCAATAACATATGAATCAATCTCTCTCTATAGAAGATCATGCAGTGCTGTGATACTAATATTTTTTCAAGTCATAATACAGAAAATGTTTTGACAGAATCATATAGACGCACACAGACATCAAGAATCAGTGTATGAATCACTACAATGGTGATCAACTCTGAACTACTCTAAAGTTAGATAAAAGCTCTGTTGATTGTCACCATTGTTGAGATTCATATGTTGAGTATTGATGTCATACTCCTAAAAAACAGCTCAAACATTTTCTTTATAATAGATAGTTTTCTAAAATTTCAGATCAGAAAAAATTTGTTTCAATATTTCAAGGTTCATGTGGAAAAGTACATCAATCATAAATTTTATCTAAAACTTAAGCACGCCTATTTAAAATGTAATTACAACAGATACACTCAGGTATTTCTCTGTCATATCAGTCAACCAGGTCAGCAGATGATGACTATAACATCACCATTAAATGATCAACATCAGCTGATATTTTCTCCTGCTTTCAATGCTATAACAAATGTTTGTCAAACACATAGTTAAAGCAGCCAAAGAAAAATTAATAGTACATATTAAAGGTCAATCAAACACTGATCTCAATCATGGTGATATCAAATTTCTGTTAAAGTTTTTTGCACTTTATATAAATTCACATATTTTACTTTAATTTAATGGTTTTGTTTGGCAGGCATAGCTGCCAGTAATTTGACCCTTTTTTTACAATTTTTTTTTACAATAAAGGTATTTGATCATAATAATGCAGGAAATACCTCTGAAATAACAGTGTTTTTCAGTTACTTTAAATTTGAATATTTTACTTTAATTTGATGTTTTTTTGTTTGGCAGCCTTTGCTGTCAGTCATTTGACCATTTTTTATGATTTTTTTTTACAATGAAGGTCACAATAATGCAGGAAATACCTTTAAATAACAGTGTTTTTCAGTTTATTTAATTTATGACGTTTTACTTTAATGTTACAGTATTTTGAGCTGCCAGTCATTTAATCATTTAACTGTTTTGTTACCATTTAATTACAGATTCTAGTTGTAATGTTACATACAATTTTATGTAATCTAAGAAAACAGAAAAATACTGTATGAAAAATACAATCTATTTCTGTAAAAAAATTTGAATGACTGTAACAATACCTAAAATACCAGCTGCATTTTTATTTTGCAGATATTATTTGTAATTTTACAGTGTTTCAGTACAATTTAAAATGAAAGAAAATGGTCATCAAAAAATCCGTTATTTTCTGTGAATTTTTTTTATAGTGTGGCTGGCCTGGTCATTTAGGCTTTAGAAAGAGTCTTGTCAAGCTCATACTTTTAGTGTTTATTCTGAATGTTTTAACAGAATATATATCAACCGTATAAACCAGCGTGCACCTCAACTGTTTTGTTTGTCTCAATTTTTCATAATTTGGGTGTTTTCCACACACACAGCAATAACTTTACTTTAGAAGACTACAGCACACACATCAAAATGACTACTAATTTCCCACCTAAATACTGAAAAAACAGAGGTTTTATTTAGTAAATAAGGAATTACTAATACTCTGTGACTGTGACTTCTGTGACTTGACTGAAAGTTTCTTCTTTGTGTTTCAATGAACAAAATAAATAAATAAATGCAAGTGCACACATTTTGAACAACGTGAGGGTACGTAAATGATAACAGTTTTCATATCGCTTTAACTTTGAATTACAGTTTACAGTAGTCAACATTTGAAGTGGATCTTCAAAGTTCTACATGAGTTTTGAACAATACCCGTTCTTGTCTTAGGACAAATGATAAACTTTTTTGATCCACTTCAAATGTTGACTACTGTAATTTAAAAGGAAATGATTCTTGCAGGATCATCAGTCTTTTTCAGCAGAAAGTGTGGATGTTTCCTGATCTGATCTGTCCCCGGTTGTCCTGTACCTGCCAGAACCCCATGATTGATCATGAAGCGTGTCCCCCTCAGCAGAACCACCAGCTCCAGGCATTTCCACATCCAGCCAGATGAATCTGCTATCCTCGTGTGGATCTCCCTAAACACCCCCTCTGCTTTCCTGTCTCGGCTGGGGGAATGTTATCAGCCGGGCTGCTATTGGCCCCTGGCAGGCACGTTTGGGGGTCAAACCAGTTAGCGGTTAGCTCTTGAAACAGCATGGCGTAGAGGGAGAGGTCATGCCCTTTGCTTGGATTCTCCATACCTCTTCTTCCCAGGGTCACCTCAGTGCTCCCCATGCCCACAGGGCCCACAGATGCCTGAGCCTCAGAGACACTGGTTTAATAAGTGAACCCAGCTCAGCCCAGTAGGAGATGTTCCCGCTCTAATCCTCTCAGACCCATAAAGCAGCAGCAGTGGCCCTCATGTGTGTGACGAGAGGTGAGCCGCCTCGGGCCGACCCATTAGTTCCACGACGGGCATTCGGTGCCTAAACTGTACACCGTTGGGTTTTATTAACAACTGATGTCATTCCACACCAATGACACTTTCTGGTGATGAGTTTGACCCCATGAAAGTCAACATGTTGTTTTGTCACTTTGGATGGAGGAATGACCTGCTTTGCCATTTCAAACCACTGCCAGTGGCTACATAAGCACAGAAATGCAGTACTTTACTAAAATTTTTTAGGGGTTAAGAATGAACAGTGTTGTAATACAATTTGAATAAATCAAGTCAAGTCACATTTATTAATATAACGCTTTTTACAACAGTGTTGTACAGAGATAACAGGAAAATAACAAAAAAGAGTTTGTTTCCAGAAGAAAATACCGTCACAGTCCAGCTTCAGTAAGTTCAGTGATGTTTCAATTCTGTTGTAAAAAAAGTTAATAATTTAGTTCATATATATATATATATATATATATATATATATATATACTGTATATATATATATATATATATATGAGAAAACTGTGATGTCATCGTCCAGCTCAGTTCAGTTCTCATTTAATGGCGTCACATGGGTCCTATGTCTACATGGGTCCTAAGCACACTGTTATTGAGACACAGGCCTAAGCTTACCGTTATCGAGACACAGGGTTTACATGGGCCCTAAGCACACCATTATCGAGACACAGGCCTAAGCTCACCGTTATCGAGACACAGGGCCTATATGTACAATTGTAAAAAATAGAGCAGTATATACACTTCACTGTATAAATTTGAAAACAAATGCATTCAACATTGGGAAAATGGCTCCTAAGTAGCATTTGTTAAAATATAGTTAAATGGTAGAACATTTAACATACTGTACTGTGTGAGATTATGTAATGTTCAAAGTATATTGTACAAAGTTAGCTAATAATAACAAAGTATATTGTTATTGAATACAAAATGTGCAATTTTTAGTGTTTGGAATAAGCCAAAAGTACTGATCAGTACTTACTATTACCTGTAAAATAAGTACTTATTCAACACAAATAAAGTACACTTTAACATCATTAATCAAGCATGTAATTATTCCCTACCCAGGTATATACTTAAAATATACTTGTGTGTACTATATGTACTACATAAAAGTACTTAAAATTATGCTTTACCTCAATTTAAAACATACTTAGTACAAAAATAGTTGTTCCAAAATAACACACTTCAAGTTAACTAATCATGAACACAATTGAAGAGTACTGATCATTAGTCACTAAGCATATTTATTCACCATGGCCTAAATGAGAAACAAAAAATAGGCTTCATTTGTTTTAAACAAATGATATTTTGTATACAAGCTGAAATGGCCAAGCTTCAAACTACTTTTTCATGGAGCTTCCTTAAACTTTCATGTAAAATCTCAACGCATTCTCATCCTTTAACGTCATATAGAACGCTATACGCAAAAACGGCGCTATACTACGCACATGGCACCCGTTATCGTTAATATAACACGCGCTGTGAGGGCTAAGTTTAGGTGTGGGGTAGGGTGTACGTGTCATATTCACGCTAAAGGATATATGACGTCTTGGGTTTGCGTGTTATATTAACGATAAAGGGTGCCATGTGCGTAGTATAGCGCCGTTTTTGCATATACCGTTCTATATGACGTTAAAGGATGAGAACGGGCTGAAAATCTAGTTCATTGCACAGTTAACCAATTGGAATGTGTGTGTCCGCTTTGGTTAAAGCATTGTTGAGAATGCCTCCAGAGAAGAGCTGCGGGGCTCAATCAGTAGAGGATCATTCATGCCCGCTGGTGCTGAGCTCCGGCTGATCCGCGGCTCTCCAGACAGTGTTCAAAGAGATCTGTTTAATGGCTAATGTTCTTACCGCCCTCCTGCTGGAGCAGATAGACAGTCAGACTCACCCTCTGGCCAAAGGTCTTCTCTCGGACAAGACATCATGCTGACCTCATCATCAGTAACCCTTGCCACCACTGCGGGTCACATGACCTGGAGGACCACGGAGAATCTGCTGCGGCCCACTTATGTAGCGATTATGATTCTGCTTATCGATTACAATCAGGTAACATTTAGAATAGAACACATTCAGTCGTATTGCAAAACCTTTAATTGTCAAATTATTTAATAAATGCTTTTCTTATGCTTTAATTGGAAATGCTTGCTGTGTGTTTTGTATAGTAATCACATATTAGCATATTCATCTAACCGTCTTTCTCAGCAGTGGATGGTATACTGCTCACATATTTCGAACTTTGTTTTACCCAGTGTTGTAGTACTCGAGACTCGGACTCGTCTCGGACTCGGTCTCGAGACCATATTTTAATGGTCTTGGTCTTGTCATGGACTCGTGTCCATTTGGACTCGAAATTGACTCGTACTCGAACATTTTTTTTTTTTAGGACTCGGAATTATTCCCCAGTCCACTCGAGTTCAATTCAAAATATTTGTCATGATTATTAATGTATGTGAATAAAATATGTCTTTAAATTGATTGACACGCCCAGTGATTGGTGATTTTCTAGTGCGCAACTGCGCATAACAAATTGTAATAAAATTACTTTTAACACCACCTACTATGTGTCCTTTTTACCCTAAACTGATCATATTTTTTAAACTCCAAGTAAATTCAGTAAAAAAAAGGGATTTCTCTAAGTAAATAAAAGTAAATTAGGTAATCAACCCTCACTGGTCTCGGTCTCGACTCGGACTCGACCGTCTCTGGTCTCGGACTCGACTCGGACTCGACTCTCTATGGACTCGGTCTTGACTCGGACTCGACTCTCTCTGGTCTCGGTGTCGACTCGGACTCGAGTGAGGTGGTCTCGACTACAACACTGGTTTTACCCCTAAACGATGAACGGAAAACAAAATCAAAGCCTTTAGTTGGTGATGTGGTAAAATAATCTTAGTTGGACATTTGTGAACTTCAGCAGCTCCTGCCGTATTTGTCAGTGAGTATGCAGAAACGGGCACTTGACTGAGCACAAGGCTGAAGACTGAAGGTCTGGGACTCCGGAGCGTCTGGTCAAAGACTCCCAGAGGCGGCGAGGTAACCATGGCAACTGCGATCGAGACAGAGACGGCCTCCACTAGAGGAGATAATGCTAATGAGGACTCATAGGGTGAAACAAAATGGCTTAATTGTATTGTGTTCATCCCGTGTTAGAGCACAAAGGCTCGGGGAGGTTACGCTCACACATGAGGCTTATTGTAATCCCTCTGTAATTACCAAGCAAAGGCATCTTCTCATGGGAGCTGTCCTCGCTGCACTGTTCACACGTATCCTTGAGGAAGTATCAATTCCTTACTTAGAAGAGTCACAAAAGCTGGACAAAAACACATTCAGGGCACCTTTGTTGGGGCGTAGAGCTATGATAGACATCTACAGTGCTGAGAGAAAGGCTCATTCAGACGCAGGTCACTGTTAATGTCAACTGCAAACCCAACAACGGCACAGCGATCTGTAAAGCCGGGCTATAAGTTGGCAATATGGGGCAAAAAAAAAATGCGTCGTGCGCTATTTAAATGCTGTGCCGGGAGACAATAGTTTGTTTGGAGCTCTTTTGAAATGTCTCAGTCTGAGGCCATTGGCGCTCTCTCTCT